AACTACATGGTTCCCCAACACGTTATCAACCACCGTAAACTACTGGGAGGGTCATCTGGCATCCCAGGTATTTCCCTGTCTCATGCTAATTGGTGGCTGCTAGGGGAGTATATGGGTCTCCACCTAGCCTGACTGAGTCAGGGACACCTGGCACAGCAGATCTCTCCTGTTATTTGTAGATAAACCACTTAGCAGGGTGGGAATGTGCCTAGGAGTGCTCTGTGGATCTTTCCAAGGACAAAGGTCATGTCCCGCCGTCCTTGGACAGGCTTTGTTCTAAGATAGAGGCTGGTTTTTCAGGGTCAAGTGAACCCCTGTTAGAGAGGGGGGGGGCAAGGACATAGGAAATGAATGCAGGATAGAGAGAAGGTGACAATATTTCTTGGGTGTGATGTGTCAGTAAAAAATTTGATTGAGCATTCAGTTTGCTATGTACCTCTGAAGCTCAGCAGAGACCTGGATGGGAGAAAGAAATTTGACCAGATCTAATAAATGACACTGTACCCATTTTATACATTCTGATCCCTGTTGGTTCTGGGTGGAGTGGGGGAGGGGCAGGAAAGGGTGTTGAGGCAGAGCAGATTAGGTTCTAAGGCAGTTAAGAAGAGCCGTTAACCAGCAGCTAGGATGGAAAGGAAGGAAGAAAATGGCATGATGTTCCACAGTCCTTACAAAGTCAGCATACTGAACAACATAACATACCGGGTGAGGTAGCCTTTTGTGGACTGGGTAGTTGTGGAATCTTTTTGGAGTAAGCAGCTCTTGTGTGACACTGAGTAAATGTCAAAGTGGGAGAGGCAAAAGTTACTCCTCTTTTTTAAACCAGAGGATGGGTAAAAAAAAGAATTAAAAAAAAAAAAGTTAAGCTGGGCATGGTGGTATATGCCTGTAATCCCAGCTACTGGGGACGCTGCGAAATGAGGATTGCAAGTTGAGTATGGGTCTTGGCAATTAGTGAAACCCTGTGTCAAAACAAAAATTAGAACGAGCTGGAGATACAGTGCAGTAGGAGAGTACCCCTGGGTTCAATCCCTAGTCTTAGAAAGAAAGAGAGAGGGAAAGAAAGAGAGAGGGAAAGGGAGAAGGAGAAGGAAATAGATCTTGAAGTGTGGTGCAAGTCCTGCAACCCAGGACTTGTCTTTCTGAATGTGAAGGGGAGATGTCTAAGATGAGATCCATTTCATAATGTCACCCTCCCCTTCCCCACAGCCAATCCTCCCCTGCCGCATACACTGCTTCTATGGTCTGCCACTCTACCAGCAGCAGTTCCTGGAGAAGACCCGAAGCTACATTCACATGCTCTGTGCCAGCCTCTTGAGCTTCATTTTTGTCCTGCTGCTCTGCTTGTCCACTCTGCACTGGGTGCAGTTCATAGTGTTAGCAGATAGGGAGAAGCTCTTTGCGGGGCTCTGGACAGCATGTCACCATAATCTTTGCTGGAGCCACATGCCAAAGGCACCTTGTGAGTGCTTTTAAAATTCTTAGAGCCCCCATATCTCACTGCTCTCTCTCTCTCTATATCCCACAACCCTGCCTATTACCCATTCTTTTTTTTTTTTTTTTAGTTGTAGCAGGACACAATACCTTTATATTTATTTATTTACTTATTTATTTACTTAATGTGGTGCTGAGGATCGAACCCAGTGCCTCTACCACTGAGTTACAATCCCAGCCCCAACCCTGCCCATTCTTGATTGGCAAGCCCCCCATCCCTGTTTGTCAACTTGCCCAGGTATGTTTTGAAGAGACTCCTTTGATAATTTAAAAAATTCAGTCCCTGAACTATAGGAATCCAGTGCTCAATTACCTTGTGTTTTTTTTTTTCTTATCTTTTCATTTACAAACTTCCCTTGGGGGGAGGGATCTTAGTGTTAGTATGGAAGGGTGGGAGGGGGTGTGTTGCCAAGACTGAGGCAAAAGGATCACAAGTTTAAGGCCAGCCTGGGTGACTTAGGGAGAACCTGTCTCAAAATAAAACAAATGGTCTGGGGATATAGCTCATTGGTAGTGTCCCTGGTTCAATCCATATTACCGCAAGAAGAAAGGGCCGAGAGAGGACATTACCTCACATTATGCCCTATTACTTTCCAAGGTTATAGTTATAATTTCAACTTTTCTTTCAATATGGAATAAAATATTTCTTTCCATGTTCAAGGAACTTCATCTGTCAGTAAAGAGGTGAGAACAGGGTCCTTATTGGTGTCTATGGAGCTGCCCAGTTGGTGGCTACTTGGCTCTGAGTCCATCACATGTAAGACAAGTATTGATTCCCTCCTCCTCAGTCCCTCACTCCAGTCCCTAGATTTTTTTCTAGACTTCTTTAAGGGAAGATCAACTCTGCTTCAACCAAGTCTCTTTTTTTTCCCTCTTACCTTGGCAGACTACCTCCAATTCTCCAGAGCCTTCTTCCTCATCTCTGTCTTCATCACCCTCATTATTATTATCTGCCTCATCATCTCTTCAACCAAAAGACCAGAACAAAAAACCTACATAGATCTGGGCGTTTCCATCTTTTGTTTTATCTCAGGTACAAAGTGACAAATTTGAGAAAGTTTGCCGTGAAGTCCAGGTATACACTCCCCTTTCTGTGTCATTTCTCCTTCATTCACCAATAGTCCTCAGCCTCGTATGAATACTGCCAACACAGGACCCTTTTCCTATGATATTCTTCCAAAAGGGAGGAAAGCTTTTTGATAAATTTTCATTTTATTCACTGCTACTGTCTTTTAAGGACAGTCCCTGAAAAGAGTATATCTAATCCAGCGGAAACATCTGTAAGAGTTGCTTTCTGATGGACTAGTGGGGAGATATTATAGACTGGAGCTCTCCTGGTAACCAGAATCTCACCCTGTAGATAGACAGTTACCCACTGTTTTACATATAGGCTCCTTCTTAACATCCTGATTCCAGCCAAAGTGGAAGCCCTTCATTCTCCCATCTTGGCTAATTGCCAAGAGGGTCTTTCCTCCATGGCAGAGTGGAGATGGCTGAGGTTTACAATAGTGCAAAGAGAGGGAGGAGTAAAGGGTGGGAGGGATGGTAGGAAGTTATGATGGGCAATGATAGCTTTCATTCTAATCCCAGGCACCTGCTTACTCCTCTGCCTCATTTTGTTCTTGATGCAAGTGGAATTGTACAGTAGGAATGTCTTGGAGCCCCATTTCCTATTTGTCTACCGCTTCAATTGGTGGGGTATTGTCTTCTACATAGTAGCTGGTGAGTTAATATTCCCGTTAAATAGTGAAGGCATAGAAAAAGCAATTCTACATGCTTGGTTTTCTCTTATTCTTTTTTTTTGGGGGGGGGCGGTATTTGTTTAGTGTATTAGAGGCTCACTTTCTGTATATGTGTCTATACAATACTGGGGTTTGAACCGAGTCTTGCACATGCTATGCAAGAGCTCGACCACTGAGATATACCCCCAGACCAGAACCTCATAATTTGGAAAGGCTCAGTCAAGAATCATTTCCATGTCAGTGAGTAATCTTTAGTTACAAGTGTTTCTATTTTTTTATAATGTTATCTGACTCTGCACAGACAAGAGCAAGATTCAGTAGGTAGAGGAGGAAGCAAAGACATAACTGATCTATTCACAGTTCTGTCCTTTCAGAAGATGTTTCTTCAACTCTCCTCTCCTTTTTCCATACCAAATAACCTCTCCATCTTTGTGAGAAAAACTTATGTAAACTCCTAGATGAATCTCCAAAAGAAAGTCTCAGTATTATCTTCCTTTGTAATCTTACCAATATAAGACAGAGCAAAAACCTCAGAGTTCTGCCTGTACTACACTTCTTTATTCCTTCTAAGCTCATGTTTACTTTTTTCATTAATTAACTACAACAGTGTTCTCTAAACCATTTTGTCATGTACCTATTAGTAAAACACTTTTAAGCAAGCATGCCAAAATGATTTATTTATAAAATGTTCACATTAATTATATCACTATGTATATTCATCACATTATAAAACATACTCAAAAATAGAATTTAACATTGACTTGTGGGGATGTTGTTCAGTAGAAGAGTGTTTGCCTAGCATGCACAAAGGCCTGGGGGTTGATCAGCATCACAAAACAAAAGCAAAACAAAACCTACTGTATTATTCTTGTATCCCAATGGATTGACTTTCATATCCCCCTGGATATCATTGTTCTATAGAAAAGCAGGGATCAGTGTCAGACTCCTAAGATGATGAGATGAATAGTCAGAAAAATATTGATAATCAAGTTCCATTATAATTAACCCAATTGTACTGCTCAGAGGTTTTGTTGTCTTTGGGATTTTATCTATTACTACTCTACAATGCTAATATTGACCTTTTTGTTTTCTCTAGGGTTCTTCTCTGGACTCAATCACATAATTTTTCGGATTGCTCTTTCAAAACAAAATCTTGTGACCCCTATTACAAAGACAAGAATAAGACATATGGCCACATTGAGATTGAATTTAACTAAGACAAATGTAAACGCTTTTCCACAGATGCATCAAATATCAGAAATGCCTTCACAGACAGTTGTACAGCCAAGGTCCCAATCAGACATAGGGATCCAAATAGATCTAGAGACAGGAAATGAATCAATAATAAGGAATGGGTTAATGACTCGGGCTAGATTAGCTACAGAGACAGAACCAGCTGGTATAATAGAGCCTGGAGCTGAAGCAGAGACAATGATAGGAATGTGATTAGTGGTGAGTCAAGCAATAGGCCTGAGAGTAATGAAAAGAAAATGACCAAAGGCAGGGATGGTTAGATCAGAGATTCAGCTGAGAAAAAAATGCTGGTGACAAGACAGAAGGATTGATCTTAGATATAAGGTAATAGAAGATGAGGCGATTTAAAATATAAAAGGCCTCACAAAGAGGTTACTCTTTAGGGGTGATGATATTTTGGATCTGTGTGGGAGTAGAGGAGTACCAGAGATAATTCTGAGATGACAAGATAATATCTCTGGAGTATCCTCCTCAGATTCTGCTTCACTCACTAAATAAGTCAATATTTTGGATGAAAGAAAGTCATTTGTATAGTTTAGGTCAAAGGTACTATGACTTGAGAATAACAAAGTGCTACAAAGCTTATTAAAGGAAGCTTCCATGTTAGTGTGGTGTACCATGATTTGGGAAATGCTGGACACCAGATTTCCATGACTACACCAGGGGACATGTCAGCAAAATGGAAAGAACATTCCATTTTTGGTCCCCACTTCCCTAATCTGTTAGGCTAATTTTTGGCAAATATTTTTCCTTGACCAACTAGACTATGCTATTCATTCTGCAACTAACTTTTCATGGCCATAAATGATGAACAATAAAGAAGTTTTTCCTGTTGGCCCATACAACTCCAGATAATTTTAGTAGTAATTTAGTTTCAGTTAGTTCTCTCTTCAAGGCTCCTATTGGCAAGTTGCCTTTCTTGTGGTGGTGTATACCTGTAATCCCAGTGATCTGGAAAGCTGAGGTAGGAAGATCACAAGTTTGAGACCAGCCTTAGCAAATTAGGAGGCCCTGTCTCAAAATAAAAAAAATAAAATAAAAAGGGCCAGGAATGTAGCTCAATAATAAAAGCATCCATCCGTGGTTTCTCTCTCCAGTTAAAAAAACAAAAACAAAACTGTAGGTGATATCCACTTATTTTTAGTTATTTGCAAGAATTGGAAAGGAAAGGAAAAGACAAAAAGACCCAGATTCTCTGAGCCAGTGTATCATCTAAACTCAGGGAGTCACCATGAGACCTTCAATGGTTTCATAGAAGGAATTGTGACCTTTGAAATTGAAGGTTTTATGAGGAGGGGCATGGAAATATTAGTAGTTCATCCTGTTATTTCGCTCTGGAACATTAGGTAAGAAACAAGGGAAGAAAAGAGGATAGACAGGGCAGGAAATATTGAAAGACATTCCTGTGAATTAAAAGACACCATAGGGGCTGGGGCTGTAGATCAGCGGCAGAGCGCTTGCCTAGTATGTGTGAGGCACTGGGTTCGATCCTCAGCACCACATAAAAATAAACAAAGGCATTCTATCCATCTACAACTACAAAAAAAAAAAAAAAAGAGACCCCATGGGCTGGGATTGTAGCTAAGTGGTAGAGCACTTGCATAGCATACATGAGGCACTTGGTTCAATCCTCAGTACCACATAAAAATAAATGAAAGTGGGTCTGGGAATATAGTCCAGTTGGTAGAGTGCTTGCCTTGCATGCACAAGTCCCTGGGTTCAATCCCTAACAATGCCAAAAAAAAAAAAAAAAAAGGAAAAGGAAATAAGGTGTTTTGTCCATTTACAACTAAACATTTTTTTTAGGGGCTGGGATTGTGGCTCAGTGGTAGAGCGCTCCAGTAGCACAGGGCGGACCCAGGTTCGATCCTCAGCACCACATAAAAATAAAGGCATTGTGTTGTGTCCATCTACACCTAGAAAAATATTTTAAAAAATATTTTTAAAAAGACACCAATTTTAAAGTATACATTTTCTAAAAGTATAGTTAAAATTATAGCTATACCTTAAATTAGATTAGTTTAAATCAATCAGGTAATGATGTAGCCAAATGCTACTTAAGTAGATGCTTTGATAGCTGAGAAAGAGGAAAAGGAAGAAGAAACTGCAAAGGGAAAGGTCCAAGTGGGGTGAGAATTCTGCAAGCTTTCAAGCAGGCTGATTCCCCAGGAAGGTGGAGATACTGAAAATGTAAAAAGAGATGAGGGAGATTGATAAAGGCAGACCCAACCTCCCTTATAATTTACCTAAAATCATGGAGACATTAAATATTTGACTGTTTTGGAAACCTGTAATCTTCATTTTATCTTGTTCAAACCCATTCCCCTGCATCATCTATATATCAAAATGTTAAAAGTAGTTCACAAGGTTAGGGACTAGAGATGTGGTTCAGTGGTAGAGTGCTTTCTTAGCATATATGAGGCTCTGGCTTCAGTCCCTTGTACCACAAAAAATACACTCACAAAACACACATAAAAACGCAATAGTTCACTGTTGGGTGTAATGCACTCCTGTGATCCCAGCTACTTAGGAGACTGAGAAAGAAAGATCACAAATTTGATGCCAGCCTCAGAAGTTTAGTGAGGCTCTTATCTCAAAAATTAAAAGGGCTCAGGATGTAGCTCAGTGGCAAAGTACCTCTGAGTCCAGTCCTCAGTGCCAGTAGTGCGGGGGAAAGGCAATACGAGTTAACAAGCAAAATAACTTAAAAAAATTTTTTTAGTTGTTGATATATCTTTATTTTATTTATTTATATGCAGTGCTGGGAATTGAACCCAGTGCCTCACACTTGCCAGGCAAGTGCACTACCACTGAGCCACAGCCACAGCCCCGCAAAATAACTTTTTGAGGTTTGAGGATTTTAAATAAGGCATGCGATATACAGAACACCGAGCTTTCTCTCAGAGGCAGAAGTAAAAATGCTTATAGTCAGTAAATATGAAAGACATCATTCTTTTCTATGCTTTTATTAGTGCATTATAGTTATACATGATAGTTGGGTTCATTTTAACATAATCATATATGCGTGAAATTTAATAGGCTCCATTTCAGTCCTCCATGCCTCTATTTTTAATTGGTGCTTTATAGATATACATAAAGGTGGAATTCACTGTGGTATATTTATACATGCACATAGTATAATTTGCCAAGTTTATTTCTTCCCTCCTCCCTCCCCATCAGTCTCCTTCTTTCCTCCATTCTTATTTCAAATTCCCCATCCCCCTCTTCTTTACTCTAGCTTCTGCATATGACAGAAAACATTTGACCATTTGACCTTGATTTTCTGGATCAGGTCTATTTTACTTAGCATGTTGTTCTCCATTTCCATCCATTTACTGGCAAATGCCATAATTTCATTTTTTTGTTTTTTGGTACTGGAGATTGAACCCAGGGGCACTCAACCACTGAGCCACATCCACAGCCCCTTTTTATATTTTATTTAGAGACAGAATCTCGATGAGTTGCTTAGGGTCATGCTTCTAAGGCTGGCTTTGCCCTCGAGATCCTCCTGCCTCAGCCTCTGGAGCTGCTGGGATTACAGGCTTGTGCCATGGAGTCTGGCTCATTTTTCTTTATGGTTGAGTAAAAGTCCATAGTGTGTGTATACTATGTTTTCTTAATCTGTATGAATGGACTGAAGGGCACCCAGACTAGTTCTGTATCTTGGCTCTTGAGAGTTACAGCACTATAAATATTGATGTGGCTGGGTCACTATTGTATGCTGATTTAAAAAATTAAGAACCATGATACATGCTATTCATGGTGATGCCCTGCTGTAATCTGTGGCTACAGAGGCTGAGCAGTAGGGCCGCAAGACTGCATGCTTGAGGCTAGCCTTAGCAACTTAGCAGGACCCTCAGCAACTTAGTGAGGCCCTCAAAAAGGATTGAGAATGAAGCTCAGTGGTAAAGGGCTCCTGGGTTCAATCCTCAGTCCAAAAAAAAAAAGAAAGAAAAAAACCCATGACACATGCAACAACATAAATGAATCTCACAGACATTATATTGGGCAAAGGAAGATAGGTACAGATACTATTGCATCACGTGAAGTTAGAGGAAAAAGCAAAATGAATCAATGGTGATAGAAGGAGGAACAGTAAAAACCTTTGGGAGGTTGGTAATGATGTTATACGGGCTTATACATATATAAAATTCATGAAACTATAAATGAGCTCACCAAGATCATAGGATATAAAATCGCTACCCAAAAAAACAGTTTTTTTTTTTTTTTTTGCAGTGCTGGGAATTTAACTAAGGGCCCTCAACTGTATTTCTAAAATGAACATTCCAAAAATGAAATTAAGACAATTTTATTTAGAATAGCAATAAAATGCTTTGATGTAAATTTAACAAAACAAGTATGTACTTGAATAGTTCAGTGGTAGAGCACTCCTGAGTTCAATCCCCAATAAGGGGTCAGAGGAACACAGCTGTAAACATAGCTACTCAGGAGGGTGAGGCAGGGGTATTGCAAATTTGGGGCCAGTCTGAGAAACTTTGTGATATATATCTCAAAATAAAAAATAAAAAGAAGGGACTAGGGATATAGCTCAGTGCTTCCCTAGCATGTTTTAGGCCCTGAGTTTGATCAGCAGTGCCACAAATATATAAATATATTAAAAATTTGAAGGTTTTACAATTCCTAATTTCAACACTTATCACAAAGCTACAGTAATTAAAACAGTATTGTGGGGTGGAGGATACTCAGTGGTATAACACTTGCCTAGCATGTGTGAGGCCCTGAGTTTGATGCCCAATACCTCCCCACACACAAAAAAGCTGAAGTTTAGGCCTGGGGTTGTGGCTCAGTGGTAGAATGCTCGCCTAGCATGCACAAGGCACTGGATCCTCAGCACCACATAAATGTAAAAGATATTGTGTCCACCTAAAACTAAAAATAAATATTTTTAAAAAGCTGAAGTTTAAACATACAGATTAGAATTTAAACAACAGAATAGAATTGACACCCTCAAATAAGCCCATATCTAAAGAAAATTTACTCAAAATGAGTCATTTAAATATAAGTAAAACTATAAAACTCTTAGAAGAAAATACAGATGTAAAATTTTGTGACCAGAGTTAAACAAGTTTCTTAGACATGATTCCACAAGTAACATAAGAATAAAGTAGACCCCATCAAAATTGTGCTGCAAACAGTACTACCATGAAAGTAAAAAGGCAATCTATATAATTGCAGAGAAAATTTAAATGAATCCTGAATACACTAAAAGATGCTCAACCTCATAAATACTGTGTTGCCATTTTTCGTCTATCTGATAAATGCTAAAATTTTTTATAATCTTAGAGTGAAAATAAAATTTGTACCACCTCTGAGGAGGAGAATTTGGCAATAAAAATTGAAATGTTTAGGGCTGGGCATATGGCTCAGTGGTAGAGCACACGCCTTACACATGTGAGGCACTGGGTTCAATCCTCAGCACCACATAAAAATAAATAAAGATATTGTGTCCAACTACAACTAAAAATATTTTTTAAAAAAAAATATATAAATTGAAATGTTTAAAATGTATTCAATCTTCTTGATACAGTAATTTAATTTCTAGGATTTTAATTCTACAAATATGCTCATACATGATTTAATATGTAGTCATTTGCAGACTGTTATTCTGTAAATAGCTTAAATGTCTATCATAGGAGACTGAAAAATAATTGTTTATCCAGTCAATGGAATACTATTAAGCTGTTAAAAACAATAAAGATTTTAAATCTTGATAAAGGATAGTGTTCAAAATATAAAATTTGATGCTGTGGGCTGGGGTTGTGGCTTAGTGGTAGAGCACTTGTCTGTTCTGTGTGAGGTATTGGATTTGATCCTCAACACCACA